TGAGCAGGGAGCCTGATGCGGGACTCGATCCCAGGACCCTGGGATCATGACCTGAGCCAAAGGCAGACGCTTAACGACTAAGCCACCCAGGAGCCCCAAGGGATTTTTTAAGTTAAAGTACAATTGACATATTATATTAGTCTCAGGTGTACAACATGATTTGGTATTTGTATACATTGCAAAAGTATAAGTCACAGTAAGTCTAGTGATCTACCATCCATCATCATACAGAGTTGCACTTTTTTTTCTTAAGATGATAACTTTCAAGATCTACTGTCTTATCAACTTTCAAATATAGAATACAATATTATTGACTACAGTCTTCATGCTGTACATTACACCCCCAAGATTTATTTATTTTGTAACTGTAAGTTTGTACCTCTTAAGCCCTTTTACCCATTTTGTCCACTTCCCTACAACTCTCTCTGCTGGCAAGCCTCAGTCTGTTCTCTGTATCTCTGGATTTTGTTTTTTTTTGTTTGTTTGTTCGTTAAGGTTCATCTGTGTTGTCAAAAATGGCAAGATTTCATTATTTTATATGGCTGAGTAGTATTCTATTGTATATGTATACCACATTTTCTTTATCCATTCATCCATCAGTGAACATTTTTAGCTTGTTTTCGTATCTTGGCTATTGTAAATAATGCTGCAATAAGCATAGGGGTACATATATGTTTTCAAAGTAATGTTTTCATTTTCTTTGGATAAATACCCGGGAGTAGAACTGCTGGATCTTATGGTAGTTCTATTTTTAATTTTTTGAGGAACCTCCGTACTGTTTTCCACAGTGGCTACAACAATTTACATTCCCACCAGCAGTGCACAAGGGCTCTCTTTTCTCCACATCCTCACTAACACTTGATGTTTCTTGTCTTTTTGGTAATAGCCATTCTGACAAGTGTGAGGTGATATTTTATTGTGGTTTTGGTTTATATTTCCCTGATGATTCGTGATGTTGAGCACCTTGTCATCTACCCACTGGCCATCTATGTCTTCTTTAGAAAAATGTCTGTTCAGAACCTCTGTCCTTTTTTTAATTGGATTGTTTGGGTTTTTGTTATTGAGTCATAGGAGAGCTTTATATATTTTGGATATTAATCTCTTATCAGATTAATGATATCCAAATATCTTCTACCATTCAATAGGTAGCATTTTCATTTTGTTGCTGGTTTCTTTTGCTATGTAGAAGCTTTTTTCTTTGGATTGCTCATTTGTTCATTTTTGCTTTTGTTGCTCTTGCATTTGGAGTCAGATCCAAAAGAAACCATTGCTAAGGTCAATGTCAAGGAGCTTATTGCCTGTTTTCTTCTAGTAGTTCTATGGTTTCAGGTTTACATTCAAGTATTTAACCCATTTTGAGTTAATTATTGTGTGTGATCCATTATCCCAATACCATTTATTAAAGAGACTGTCCTTTCCCCATTGTAAATTCTTGCCTCCTTCATTGTAAATTAATTGACCATGTATTCATGGGTTTATTTCTCAGCTCTTTTATCTTGTTCTACTGATCTGTGTGTCTGGTTTTATACCAATAGTATATTGTTTTGATTAGTATAGCTTAGTAATATAGTTTGAAATTAGGAAGTATGATGCTTTCAGCTTTGTTCTTTCTCAAGATTACTTTGACTGTTTGGGATCTTTCGTGGTTCCATACAAATTTTAGGATCATTTGTTCTATTTTTGTGAAAAATGCCATTGGAATTTTGATAAGGGCTGCATTGAACAATATGGACATTTTTTACAATTTTTTACATTTTTACAATATTAATTCTTCCAAGCCATGAACACAGAATATCTTTCCACTTATTTGTGTCTTCTTCAATATCTTTCATCAATGTCTTAGAGTTTTTAGCATAAAGGTCTTTCACCTCCTTGTTTAAATGTATTCCTAGGTATTTTATTCTTTCTGATGTGATTGTAAATGGGCTTAAAATTTGTTTCTGGGGGCGCCTGGGTGGCTCAGTTGGTTAAGCGACTGCCTTCGGCTCAGGTCATGATTCTGGAGTCCCTGGATCGAGTCCCGCATCGGGCTCCCTGCTCAGCGAGGAGCCTGCTTCTCCCTCTAACCCTCCCCCCGTCATGTACTCTCTCTCTCTCTCTCTCTCTCATTCTCACTCTCTCAAATAAATAAATAAATCTTAAAAAAAATTGTTTCTGATAGTTCATTATTAGTATATAAAACCACAACAGATTTTTGCATATTGATTTTATATCCTGTGACTTTATGATTTTGTTTATTAGTTCTAAAGGTTTTTTGGTGGAGCATTTGAGGTTTTCTATATATAAAATCATGTCATTCACAAATAGTGATGATTTTACTTCTTTCTCTCCAATACGGATGCTTCTTATTTCTTTTTCCTGTTTAATTGCTCGGGATAGGACTTCCAATACTGTATTTAATACAAGTGGTGAGAGTAGACATCTTTGTCTTGTTCCTGATCTTAAAGGAAAAGCTTTCACCTTGTCACCATTGAGTATGATGTTAACTATGGGCTTGTCATATATGGCCTCTATTATTTGTGGTACTTTCCATCTATATGCACTTTGCTGAGACTTTTTATCATGAATGGATGTCGAATCTTGTCAAATGCTTTTTCTGTATCTATTGAGATGATCATAGGGTTTTTATCCTTCATTTTGTTAATGTGATGATTCAAGATGATTAATTTGCAGATGTTCAACCATCCTTGCATCCCTGGAATAATTCCTACTTGATCATTGTGCTTGATCTTCTTAATGTATTATTATTGAATTTGGTTTGCTGATATTATGCTGAGGATTTTTGCATCTATTGCCCTGTAATTGTGTGTGTCTGTGTGTGTGTGTCTGTGTGTGCGTGTGGTGTCTTTGCCTGGTTTTAGTATTAGGGTAACACTAGCCTTGTAAAATAAGTTAGAAGCATGGCCTTCTCCTCAATTTTTGGAGGGGTTTGAGAAGGATAGGTATTAAATATTTTTTGAATGTTTGGTAGAATTCACCAGTTAAGCTATCTAGTTCTGGACTTTTGTTTGTTGGGAGATTTTATGTTTTTGTTGTCAGAGTTTACATCTTTTTTAATTTATGTATCCCTTAACTTATAGTTATTTTTACTCTTTTTGTGTTTTAATCTTCATATTAGAAAGCTAGATTATTCCAGTGAGATTTTTACTTTCATATGTTTTCTTATTACTAATTAGTGACCTTTCTTTAAAGCTTAAAAAAGTCCCTTTAACATTTCTTTTAAGGCCAGTTTCATGTGGTGATGAACTGTTTTATAGCTTTTGCTTGTCTGTAAAACCTTTTATCTCTTCTTCAATTCTACACGATAACTGTGCCAGGTAGGGAATTCTTAGTTGTAAGTTTTTTGCTTTCGGTACTTAAATTTATCATACCACTCCCTTCTGGCCTGCAGTTACTGCTGAGAAATCAACTGATAGTCCCTGCCTGGTACATAACAAGTTGTTTTTTTCTTGCTGTTCAAGATTCTTTCTTTAACTTTTGACATTTTAATTATAATGTGTCTTAGTGTAAATTTGCATTGTTTTAAGTCACTATTACTATGATAATATGTTACAGCAGTAATATGTAACTAATGAAGATTTTTGTACCTAACAGTAGAGTATAGCTGTAACTGATATCTAAAAATCAGGAACTAGTTTTGGAATTGGGTAATGGCTAGAGGCTGGAGGAATTCTGAATATGATCCAAAAAACCTAGATTGCTTTTTAACAGACTTTGAGTAGAAAATGAATGTTTAAGGACACAGAAGAAAGTGAGGAACATGATAGAAAAAAATCTACATTGCCTTAGAGAATACTTAACTCATAATAAGCAGACTGTTGGTAGAAAGGAGGACATAAAATGTTAAGTTGAGGGATAGTGGTGAGAACAAAGGGGTTCTTTGTTATATAAGAGTAGAAAGCTTGCTAAATTGTGTCCTACAGTTTTGTGGAAAGCAGTTGAACTATGATGTGGTAACTGTAATGCAGTTATGTGGATATTTAGCTGAGGAAATTAGGATATTTAGCTGAGGAAATTTACAAGCAATACATTGAAGGTATGACCTGATTTCTCCTTGCTGATTATAGTAAAATGTAAGATGAAAGAGAGAAATTCAGGAAATAACTGTTAACCAAAAAGGAACCAGGATTTGATAATGTGAAGAATTCTCAGTCTATCCAGACTGCAAAAGATGCCAAAATAAGGACATTCACTGTCAGGAAAGCAAGCTCCAGAGATGTTACGAAGAGTGCGGCTGGCCAACCTATTGTTAATGCTTTCGAAAGGATAAGAAGGTCAGTGTGTTCAGTCACACAGAGGTTCTTTGAAGAGATAAGCATGTGTCTTATGAACCCTCTCAGCCATCTTAGCAGAAGCCAGAAATAGAGAACTCCCCAAAAGAATTATGGAGGATCTGCTTGCCTAATGAATGAACCACAGGGTTCTTGAAGATGTTATACAAGCAGAAATACTGCCATCTTGAAGTGAAAGAGACAGAGAAAGGACAAAATAAACAGAGACTGCTGGACTCAACAAAATTCTACAGACAGGAAATAGTATGACAGAACTCCTCTACTACAAATGTACTGTTCTCTAGAAAAAAATGTGGATGACTCTGAGGGCAGAACCATCCCAGAGGATGAAACCATGGGCCCTGAGGGCAGGGTTATAGTCCTGGAGGGGGAAACCAAGAGCCACAGGGGATTATTCCCAGTCTTTGAAACATAATGCAGTTTTTCCAGTTGAATTTTGGACTGATGAGGTGATGAGATAAGATTCTGAACTTTGAGTTTTTATTAAAATGGATTGAGACCTTTGTATGTGGGATAGACATGACTCTTTGGGAGTTAGCGTGCAGACTATGATGGAGAGAATAATGACTTTCCTAAAATATCCACATCTTAATCCCCAGAACTTGTATGTATATGTTACTTTATATGGCAGAAGGGATTTTGCAGATATGATTAAATTAAGGATCTTAAAATGCTTGTATTATCTTAGATTTTCTGAATGGGCCAATGATAAAAAAAGTATCCTTATAAGAGATGCAGGCAAGTGAAAGGAAGAAAAAGGAGATATGTCAATGGAACCAGTGGTTGGAGTGACGTATTTTTTAAGGTGGACAGGGCCATGAAACCAAGGAAGATAAGCAACCTCTGGAAGTTGAAAAGACAAACAGATTCTCCTCTGAATTCTTCAGAAAGAATGTTGTCTGAACAATGCCTGATTTTAAACTTCTGACTTCCTGAATTATGAAAAGAAATTTGTGCTATTTTAAACCACTAAGTTTGTGGTAATTTGTTACAGCAAAAACAGAAAACTAATACATTCATTCATTTATAAATATTTGTAGAATAGCTAGTATATTTCAGACACTGAGCTGGCTGCTAGGAATACAGTAACAAATGAAGTAGATATAGTGGATTATGGTTTTACATGCTGAAATCTGGCCAGAAACAATGCAAGAAAAGCTTGTTTTGTTTTGTTTTGTTGCACATGCTAGATTTGCTATATATGAGTTTTGGACATCTATATAGGTATATTTCATAATAACAGCTAATGCTTATGCTGGACACTGTTCTAAGCACAGTTTATATATTAACTCATTTAATTCTTATAATAATCCTGGGAGGGTGTTATAGATGAGGAAACTTCTATAGATGAAGAAACTGTGTATGGATATATAAAGCAACTTGCCCAAGTTCATGCAGCTGGGTGGCAGAGCTGGTATCCAAATAAATAAGCCAGTCTGGCTCCAGATCTTGAGCTTTAAAACACTTTTAGCAACTCTAGTTGAATATGATTGTGAATCTGTCATTTTGCATAGATTGATCTGTAAATATAAATTTGATACTTGTAAGGAAAATAAGAAACAACAATGGCGTAGAAGCCAAAGAATAGAGTTTTCGAGAAAAAGATAATAATTGACATTGTCAGATGTTGATTAATGTCAAGTGGAATGACTACTAACCAAAAATGCCTTGATTTGGTGTCCTCGTTATAAAAGTTTTCCTGTTACCATTTTCTGAAGTCATATTTATTAACCATTATTTCTCAGAATGTGTCAGGCCTTTGCACTCAGCATTTTATTAGTTTCAGCTGCTTTAGTATAGTTGGGCAGTTGTCACTAACCCATTGAGGCCAGTGGCACCAACTCACATACGTATATCTTGGCTTCATTCCTATGATGTTCACTAGGATAGATACGCTTCGCTTTGCTTCCACTGAAATTGCTCGAGATGTTTTGTCCAGTGATCTGCGTGAAATTAGCCCTTGTCAGATATTTATTGACATACTACACGACTTTCTGTCACCCTTCACTGCCACTTCTGCAAAACTCAAACCAGCATTTAGAATGTCAGAGTACTGTATACATTTATTCTGTCTGATATGGACAGATAATTTTAACTGGTATTTTCATTAAACATTCTTTTTTAAAAACTTTGGATTCACATAATATCTATTAGTAAATAAAATATCAAGATTAAGACCATGGTTATTTTATCTTCTTGTGCCCCCTTCTAGTTAGTGCAAGTATATGCTTCATAAGTATCTGTGGACTGGAGTAATGAGGCATAGAATTCTATTAACTATTATTGTCTTAATTTGAGTAATGAACAATTGTTTAGAGTATTGTTACAAATTGGTAACAAAGTTAACATAAGAAAAACTTCTATCATCATTCTTTGTTGAATACCAGTTACGTACCATCAACCACTTTATACATCCATATCTTCCTGTAAGCTTTCCACCCATCTTGGTCTACCTCTCACTAATACCTCGTGGTCGCCTGTGACTCAACTCTTTCAGCACTCTTTCCACAGCTCTCATCCACAGAGCTTCAGAGAAGAATGAACCAACTTACTGTCAAGGGCTGTTTTTTCATACGCTGTCATAGGACCACACATCTGCTTTCAGAGCACCTATTTTTGAACTTACAGAATATATTTTTATGTTATCAATTAATGTCTGTACCCCCACTAAAATAAAAACTATCCAAACAATTGTGTCTATCTTTGCTCACCATCACATTATCCACACGGCACAATTTGAGTGCATGCACTATCTGTATTGGATATATGAAAAAATATTAAAGTTAAATTAATTTCATTTTAGTGAGGGATCATACATAGAATCCTAAATTTTATAATAAAAACATCACATTAATCTGATTAATCTGGTGGGAACATATAGATATTCATGCTACTGGAAACACATACCATAAACTCCCCCTTTTGAAATATAAAATCCAGTGTTTTTTTGTCTATCAATCAAGTTTTGCATTAATCAAGGCCAGTTAAT